GCTATAGCTCCACCATATTGTCCCTCTCCAATGAAACCTCCCCATGCTTGTCTCCCCATCACACAAAAGGGCCCCTTCTTCCCCCGTACGTCCGAGGAGAAATGGATGAAGGTGAGTCACTGGCCATAGACGGGAGAAAAAGGCCAAACAAGTGAAGCGTGAAAGTCTGGAAATTCTCCCCAGCAAAAGAAAGCTTTCAGGGTGCAGAAAATGGTCAAATGTTATTTCTCCTCTGCTTTTTTCCACACACAAGGAAACTTGAAAAGCTACAGTTACAGCTTTAGTGACCATCCTATTTCAAAATGGAGGTCTTTTCAGATGTTGCGTGCCATTTTGACCACCTGGGATTCTCTCTCTCTCTCACTCTAGCCACATGAAACGGTGGAAAGCTTTTTGAGAGATATGCCATCACGTACGCCTGCTTTAGCCCTATAGCCACAGCTTAGCCCAAACCCATGCAGGGAAGCTATCTGCCGCAGCTTGACGTCCTATGGGTTCTTGTGTGAGTAAGTCCACCATCCACTCTCCCTCCTTCCATCATGTTTTAGAGGCTTTATCTGTGCATTGATATTCAAGATGTTATTCCAGAAGATGACACCGTCTTCATATGTCTTTCCTTTTTAGTCGTGCGTTTGTACATTAGCATAGTATAAATGTCATTAAATGTAGGTCTATGAGCTTAACACAATGGAGTAGAAAACGTATTGTGAGGATAATGGACCAGGAAAACAATGACTATGGTGGTGTGGAGCTTTCTTGACCACTGTTTATATCTCAGGGGTTTTGAGATACAATGCAGTACAATTATTTTGTTCTTTAGAGTCTAAATGTAGTCATGACATCACTATTTGCTGGGATGTAACAATAACCAAAATATTGTGATATCGTATCATCAAAAGTCTCACAATAATATTGTGGCTGTCACAATATATCGAATTACAAGTTCCTTTGCATAAATGCATGGTTTTATTGTAGCAACAGCTTGTGAACATCAGAAACTACATGTCCCATGATTCATTTCACTGCAGACAACATGAATATATGTTTTTTTACTTGAATTCTTGGGGTTATGACAGAAATAATTCACACCAAAATCTTGTGAAGGTAATTTAAATGCAAAAAAGCGTCCTATCTAGAATTATATTAGTCTCAAATCAGTATCGCAATAAATATCATACTGAGAGATTTGGATCTTGTTGCATCCCTACTATTTGTTCAATAGGCCTTTTGTTATTCACATTACATACAGTTAAATCTTACATCAATTTATTGGACTGTGCTCCATCTTTGCTTCCTCAATGTAAATTTTCAAAAGACAATGCAATCAGTGTTGGAGCTCCATCGTATCCTGTGACAAATACACTGGGACCCTCAGCAGAAGCAGCAGCAGAGATTGCCATGCAGAACAGTGCGGTGATGAAATGACTGTGAAGAGGCAGCACTCACTTAATTGTCTCCACAACAGTTTTGCTCCATCATATTCGAGCGGTTAAACAGGAGCTGGAGCTGTGTCCTCTGTATCAAACCCTCATCCCATCACACTCCCAGGACTACTGTCTTCGCCCATCACTGAACGCGACAATAAGCGCTTAGCTGCTCTACAACTCCATGACAACCATCTTGGAAAGGTCCCCAGAGACTTCCTGCTGTCATTTAAAGTCTGCATTATGCAAATACAACTTAAAGACAAAAATGTATGCTTCTTTTTAACATTTTTTTTTAGTTAAACCTCCTCCCCACATCTTCACACGTCATGAGACAATTTCGACTTGTCCTTGGCTCAAAGGCAGAACTACTTGAAATGCCTTTAGATTTGGTGCGCCCACATCAAAGCCAACCGGAGCTTATTTTTCGAGTATTTTGCACCCTGAGGCAACAAGCTACTTCTGAGGTTGCTGTATTCCCAATAAATAGCTTGGTTTTCTTTTTTCGTAGATCCCAGCAAAGCACCATCTAAAAGGGAGTTGTGGTTTTGGGCCTGGGTGCGCTCCACTCCACCAGAGGTACGGCGGCCGGCAGGAATAGCGGTTTATAATGGTTTTGCCGATTGCTTTCCTAAGGTGTTGCACAGTCCACCCCTGAGTGCATGCAGGTATCAGAGCGGGCTCACGGGGTTGACTTCGAACATCAAACTGCTCTTCTGGGCGTTTGATGGCCTGCCGTGTGATGTATCGCGCGATTTACACGCTCCACGCTTACTTTCATCCATCGGCTGTCTTGGGAAAACATCTGCAATATACTCCATAGGATGCAGGGAGGTACATGGGGTTTTAAGTTGAACTACATGCTTCTAGGAGTAATTTGTGAGATGTTATTATCATGTTTGCAATGTCATGAGATATAACCCTTTTTGTAATTTATTTCTGGGTCTCGGATGACATCATGACATTCAATAGGGTAATACGACAGAAGGCGGCAGTTAAAGTAGGTATTGTTAAAATGTTGATTTCTGTTGTAATAGCAAGTTTTACATCTAGGCACTAATATGAATTTACTTTTGAGATATTTCATAAAAATACAATGTTATCTATATAGGGAATGCTAGTTCTTCCCCCCATCTGGGATTATGATATCATCACATTCTACCATCTTAAAACAACCAATAGGTTGTATTGATAATCACATAGCAGCCCACTATTGACTTTTAAGACTTAAATTAGAAGAAAAACTGATCTTGAGATTATCAACTATTTTTTTCTGCATGACAACCTGCGTACAGTAAAACATTAATATGATAGCAGAGACATGAGGCAAAAATGAAGTATAATATCCCAGGATTGCGCCAGACCTCCTAGCAACACTACTTTTGGTCTATTACCCTACAGATTATTTATAGCAATTTGACCATTAAGTTATTAAGTGCAAATAAATATTTAAGCACATTTGATAAAAGCAGACCTATTATACAAAATTGTGTTTTTTGAGTCTTTTCATCATGTTATAGTTGTTTCACCTTACCATTTACACTCTCAAATTTGTACCTGTGCATATTTGAGCAATCTTTAATCAATTCTTTTCAAGACATCATATTGCTGATCAACTCCCATTTTTACCATCCCCGGCATATGTCCACTTCTCTGTATTTACTTCATTTTCTACTTGTATTCTCTTAATCGGTGATACACATAGGATTAAACGGTGTGCATAGTAATATTGGTACAAATGAAAAAATCTGCTTCTCGGTATTGTGATTTGCCTCTTTCCATTGGAGTTGCTGATTGATTTTTTCTGTTCACAATTATGGAGATGTTAGTTGCCATTGGGTACCATGGTTTTCTAACACGGAAATCAGCTAATTTGTTCCTTTTATCAAGTCATTTTAGATGATTATTGCGATTTAAAATGTCTAAATGATAGCATAATGATCCATGGATGTCATAGATTCTAACTACATAGTAGATACAAACACAATATGTCTTCTTGAACAACATTAAAACGGTTTTATATGTATGGACAAACTTATCTGAACAAGTCACTGTTGAAATGCTTGACTTCCTCACACTTGCTTGTGGTGATGTACTTGGTTCTTTGTGTAATGGCTGCTGCAGCAAGCCATGATGCCTCAAAGAGCACAACATCCTTCATTCACCAAGGCTTGCTGTGATTAGTCCTGTGCCTTAAACCATATATAAAAATTCATTTCAAATGTCTTTTAAAAACCATAAAACATCCACGCTGACTTCAGGCTCACTTGCTGTAGGCTATCGCTAATCAGTTCACTCTATGCTCCATTTAGCCTCTGTGTCATTAACGATAATACAAATAAAATAAGTGTTAGGCACTTTAGATTTTTCCGTGAATCCTCTCCTCACCAACTGTCAATAATTCCTACTGATTTTTCCCCCTGTTTCCCACGCTCGCAGTGCATTTGTGCTGAACAAATTCCAGTTAATTACAAGGCAAATGGTACAAAATGTGCTCTGTGACCATTATAATCCTGTTTGCCATGCTCAGCAAGGATGCATCACTCTTCACACCCACACAAACACTTGCACGCTCCGGCAATGAAAATACTGATACAAAGAGTCCACTTATAATAAACTACACTATCTTCTCACCACACACACACACACCAACTGTGCAACCTCTGTTACAATAGATTTTGGACACTGTCGAAAATGTGAATGAAAACAGAATGCAATGATGAGCAATTTTCTATGTATCTGATGTTAGGATTTCAGAAAAAAAGCAGCACGTCTTATATAATGCTTACATATATCTAACAGGAGGACTTGATGAAGTATTCAGATCAAGGAATTAATTCCCCTTTTTATTTTTATGGGAAGATCCATCTGTTTAATCACCCAAACACATGTTCTGTTGAGGATACACACGAGGTTATATAAGGTTTGCTGCATTCGATTGTGATTTGAAAGTTTCTCGTTGGCCCAAACTTCTTCAGAAGTAAAAGGTTGTACCTAACACTTGTTTCCAAGCACAAGAGATGTACGGTCTAATGTGTTAACACAGATGTTGAATTTCCACACTTTGCACTACCCTCCTTTGACTTTGACCAATATTGTGAAATAGTGGTAGTATTCCGGCAATGGGAGCTTTAATGAAAGGTTCTGCGTGGAGGCATAGACGCTTGGTTGGTCTAATGAGATCCCTAACTGTTTGTGCCATCTGCCCGACCCAAGTCACGACATTAACTATGCATCCACGCTAGAATCAGACCTATCTGTGATGAAGAAACCCTCATCTCCACAGTGCCAAAAGCTGACGCGCAAACAAACAAATGCATACTTCACCAAATCCCAAACATTACTTCAGCACTCTCAATTGTAATGGCTTTCGGGAGGCTGTGACTATGCATCACACTCAAGAACAAGGATTACACTATTGGGCTAAATAGTGCATTAGTTTAGTGATAGCTGCAAATGTATGTACACAATAAAGAAGGTTCTGGTTTTCTATCTATAATGCGTAGAATTAAACAGATCTAGGACTTAAATTAATTGTTACTTTAATGTTACATTTCTACATGCTATCCCTCCCACGGTTTGGTTTTTGTCCTCATTTACCTCTTACCTCTGGAGACTGGAAGGAAATATGGAAGTCTGCGCCTCTACACTTGACTCAAAAATGGACTATAAAGTTTCTGGTGGTGAGTCCATCACTTGATTGTCTTCAAGGAGATGTTATTGCTTTGCCTAGAATAGTCCACAGTATGGCATTAAATTATCTGTCTTCATGGTGACAAGCAGATTAATGAAGGTGACTAAAGATGGCTAAGTTATAGGTAAGATCTGTGGAGAGGTGAGCCTGCTAACAGTAAGAATCCATGTTTTTCTAGATCTAGTGATCTGCATGAATAGATTCCAGCTTGCATGTACCCTGTCTAGTAATGCCAACAAGCCAAAAAAGATTTTGTTTTCATTCAGTTACTAAAAAACAGATCTTATTTTATCTACCTATTGATTGACATAGGAAATTGAACATACTTACTGTATTGCGCATAATTTCTGAATACCTCCCAACCCCATAGCTTCAAGTTTGTATCGGTTCAACCAAGTGTCCTCTGTTCGAAGTAATGCCTTTTTGATTTGCCGTAGCTTTTAAGCAGTATTGATGTGTCCGGGAGAAGGCCATGCTCAAGTCAAACTCATCTGCAGTTTTCCAGGGCACCATTGTTCGGCCGGCCGGGGAGAGGTCACCGCCACAGAGGAGAATAAATGTGCCGTGATTGACTAGTCTCTGTTGGAGAAATGAGTTCTCCATTCATTCACGGGCTTCCAGAGGTGAAACGTCCTTCAGCAAAGTAAACACAATCTGACAGGACTCGGCGGCAAACTCAAAGACACAGCGTGGAGCGGCCATGAGGAACAAACTTCTCCCCACCGCAGCCTCCAACCCGCTGTCCCGCCTCTGTACTGGCTTTAGTAAAGACAGGGGTACACAAGATCAGTGAGACAAGTATAACTCAATATGTTTTGGGTCTACAAGAAGTACGATAGCCATCAGAAGAATGTGAAACCACTTAGTCTGATTACCCACCAGGCAAACATTCTATTCAAACACAAAACATGAAAAATGGACTAGATCTAGAAAAATACAAACACATACAGGCTGGTAAGCACTGAATCAAATCAAATCAAGTTTACTTATAGAGCAAATAGCTTAAAATAATAAATAATAATAAATGAATAACAGCCAAAGCTTACAAAGGTGCTCTGCAACAACAATAACACAACAGTGGTATAGTTAGTAAAAAGAAATAACAGTAAAAACAATGTTTTATATTAAAGTATAATATAAACCAAGATGTGACTCTTTCTAACTCATATTGAGAAAAGGCCAATGGGAAAAGATGCATCTTTAGTAGAGATTTAAAGTGCTGCAGTGACTGTCCTGTCTAATGTGCAAAGATAAGCTATTCCACAGCTGTGGTCCAACTACAGAGTTACAGAAAAGGACCTCCTCTGATCTTCAGGCTGGTTGTGGAGTAAGCCAAGAAGTGCTTGTCAACAGAACACAAAGCTTTGGAGGGGACACTGGGCTAGAGAAGTTAAAAAAAATAGGCATAATCTTAGAAAAGGCATGATTTTATGAATTGAAGCCAAACACCAAGTATTTTGTTGATATTCTATTTTCTACTGGACCTTGGTTAACACCCTGCATGAAAAAAGTTATCAAAAGAGTGGTGAAACAACACAATATGCAATTGTAATGGGTTACAACTTATAAAGAAACCACAACCTAGTGATTAATGTTGCCTATTAATAAACTTTTGAATTAAGGCTAAATTTAATATTTCTTAATATCTCCATTGGCTTAACATTAGACTAACTGAGATGTGATGACAATTCTGAGCTCTGTAACTGCTGCCTTCAGGTTTGAATGTAAGATCCACATATGTTTAAGTGTTGTGTGTGCCTACTGTCCTGGGTCCAGTTAAATCCTCCCTTGTGAAAGGCAAACAGAATCCCTGCGCTCATCAGAGAGACAGCTTAGCCCTCCTCCTGGTTTGTTTAAATTGCAGTAATCTGGCACACAGATCACATGTGCAGCTAATTGATGGATTTGCCCGAGGATCTGAGAGCTGTTGATCTCCTCTGTGTTTATTTTCAGAAGGCAGATGCTGTAACCCTTGCCTTGCTGAAGAAGCTGGTGGTTCCTGAGGCAAAAACACAATGTCATCAGCTGCGATGCGGCCATCAAAGGCTATGCCACCAACGAGGCATAATTAGAGAAAGACATGCCGGGGTCTATGTTATTTATTTGATAAGTGTTAATAATTCAAATCACAATGTTTCCTGGTGTTTGTTTTAGCATGGTCCGCAACAAACTTTTCAATTGAAAAAACAACACTGTTGCTTGACCAATTTTAACAATTTTCTCAGTATTTGTTTTCTATTTGTAAGTATGCGCAGTGACTAGGTTCTGAAGGTTTTTGTGGTGAAATCTATATGCTAAATCAAGAAGCATGTAACTGCGCACTACAGGAGGCAGAAGAGAAAAGGCAAAGGACAGAATAAGTACTTGTGGAAAACAGGCCAGTAAACATTCTCGCACACATGTGAGGTCTTTTTGCCTGTGATTGTAATAAAATGTATGAGCATTGCATGTGTGTTTGGGACTGGGCTGTGTTGTGGTTGAAGCACGCAATGATCTATTTTTTCCCATTACCCCTCTGCATACGTGTGGTTCATTTACATTCATGGTTATCCAGATAATGAAGCTTTCAATCCGGGGGATCCTGTGGTGAGAACAATGAACCCAATTACCTCCTGCCGCCTGTGAGATGGGATGGCAGACTCCGAGACAGATGGGAGAGGCTGCACTCGGCCCGCAATCCAATCACATTCATCTCGCCTGCTTCCTGGTCCCTGTTCATGTGTTCTGCAGCAACTTATCAACAGGCACAGGCCAAACAGGCCAGCATCATTACATCACACACCTATGATTGTGCAAACACACACTCATGCAGTGCCAGGTCCCTGGGGTCCACTCGACCCCCACCATCTACTCCCAGTTTCCCACCTCCCTCTGTCTCCAACACCATAGCTCTTGTTGATCAGAAGAGCTCACATACTTCATGTGCTAAAGGAGAAGGATGTTCTTGGTACACTGAACTTCAATCATGATCTACTTATCGGGTACCAGTGTCCTGCAACACTCCAATCAATTAGAGAAAGATGGGCTCTGTTTTTCTATGGCCCAGGAGGTTTAAAGGACTCATCAAAAGTTTATCAGCTTGCCTTTCTTAATGAAATAAATAATAGACTCAGTGAGAATGAATGGCATTGAATCAGTAAATATCTACATAAGTTTGATAAGTTAGACAGGAGAGAAGTTGACATTCAACTCAAGCCAAGGCTATGTGTGCCTGGACCTAGACACTGCTTGAGGGAATGAATTCCACTATGAGATAATTAGCCAGTGATTGCGTGAGAGCTGATACCAGTTCTGCATAATACTCCAATATTTGCAGTATGTTTCATGCAAAAGATAGCTTATCTCATATTCTGACCCCTAATTTTACACTCAGATCAATAGTAATTGACTTAGTGGTCAATGTGGTTCTTGAAGTTTTTCATCACATGGTGCTGCCATCAGTCAAACTATTATGGGCCAGTGTAATTTGTTAGTGGAATCTGCATGTTAATGCTCATAGCACTGTTTTATGTTAATGAATGTCAGGAGAAGAGCTCAGGGTGGACAGCGCACACACCTGTCCACACACTCACACACGCACACAGCAGCCCTGGGATGCATTATTGATAAGCTACTAATTACGCTTGTTGCAATTTCAGCTGACCTTTCCTGGGAACATCCTGTATCATTACAAGCTGCATTTACTTGAAATTGCAAAGGTAATCTACACAGCACCATCCTGTTCCCAGTTTTACCTCCAGCGTCTCCACCATCACCCTCACTGTTGTAGCTGCCGTCACTGTAAACCTGTGTCACGTGTCTCCATAATGTTAGTGAGGCGTTCAGGGTCTGAGGTAACAGGGTGCTGAGCCTCACAGTGAGAGCCCATTCACAGAAAGGTTAAGACCACCACACAGGGCGCATTCATGGTTTGTATGCACTACTACAGTCTCATCATCACACTATACTATAATATTGTAATGACTCTTTAATGCACACAGGCTCCAACCGACAATTATATTTTTACATGATGGTTTACACTTATACCGTAGGGATGGGTAATATATTAGTTCCAAAATCAGTACTGGTGTTTTGGCATTGATATTCTAATATTAGAATATTCTAAAATGTGATATATAAATAAAGCTGCCCCATCTTTGTGTGTCCATGTGCCATTCCTAGTTTGTCCTCAGTGTACCAGATTTGTCTTTTTGAACAGACTAATGGCTATAAATGGAAATAAAATAAAACTGTGATTTCATTGTTTGTTTCTTTCATTCAATGACAATAAATCAAAATCAGTAAAAGCGATTAGGATACACATGTTGCAGTTTGTTTACACAATAATACAACAAATAATTTTATATTGCAGATAAAACATTGTTATTATTTTCAGAAAAGTTTTTGAGTTTATAGTTTAGGACTTTTACAGGTTAACATAAATTTGCTGTGGATTTAAACATGTTAAAATTGGTATCTTCAAATATCGGTTACCGGCCAAAGCATTTTATAGCCCACACAGTTCAGCACAAACAATGCTTCTGGATATTGGAGTCTAGACCTTCACAATTCCTTACGTTTGTACTATGTAATACAAAAAGGTGCGTGAAAAGGGCAAGGGAGCAGTGTGCATGTAGCTGGGATACACCAGGTGAGCTGGTGCAGGCAGGGGCGACACCTGCTGAAGGATTAATGGTCTCGGGGGAAGCCAAGGTGAGCCCGCTGCTCTGGGTTGACATCTCTGTACTTGTGAGAGCACAGAAATTAGCCAGCCAATGCAGTGAGTAATGGCTAGGCTGCTTCCATCAGTCCCATTTAACAATGCATGCAGAGGAAAATGCAGCCAGAGAGAATAAAGTAAATGTTGTCTCCTGGGCATGTGCACGTGGCATGGAACAGTTTATCACATCAGAGCAGA